AGGGGGAGACAGACTGGGGTGAGGGAAATGTATAAAAATAAAGCCAAACAGCCTCAAGACTGAAGGGAAGAGCCCTCCCATCACAAACCCCACGCTCATCCTCGCGAGGACCTCAGGCACCTGAGACTCACTACAGGGCTCCCACTGCTCCTCACGGGCACAAACCACTCTTAGGACTCAGAGGAATACTGGAATGGTGAACACGACACCAAAAGAAAGGGGCGTATATTAACACAGAGATTTTTTACAAAACAATTTAAACTGTATTAACAATGAGGTTCTTCCATATTAATTTGGCAATTTGGACCACTACACTGTTAAAACATTAAAAGGACTAACAATAAATTCTTAGCTCCATACGTATAGAGTGTTCCCTTCCGCCCAATACAAGACTGGAGTCTACCAAATACATTGACAGCTCCTGACTTTGGGAAAAACCCTATGTCATCACTGTTAGCCAAGGGTATTTAACCCAAGATTTTTTTCTTTTTTTGTTCAAGTGAATTTTTCTTTCATGAATTCCAACTTCTAGATCCCTATCTGAAGCAAATCTCCAATTTTTTTAGATTTGCCTGCCAATAACCTCTGTAGTGAAAATCAGCCCATAAAGGAACCATTCTCAAGGTTGCATAACACAATAGATGCGCCTCAGATGCAATCAGGTGAAGCTAGGTTATAAGAGGAATGACAGAGAAAGAAGAAATGAAGACTACCGAGGAAAATAGATGGAAAGGGCAGTCAGACACCTCCTTTGTTCTCCGTAAGTTCCTTTCTCTTATATTATAAATATTTTCCTAGTGTAGCAATATAGTGCATAAACTTATTTCTACCAATCCAAAAATAAGCTTTTGAAAGTATTTTTATTTAATTACAATATAAATGAATAAAGCACACTCTAATAGCAAGAAAGTTCTCTAAGGTGTGCATTAATAGGCACTTTAATGTCTGGAAGCACTCTGCCTCCGGCTTTTCGCTTCCTATCATACTTAAAGCATTAACCAATGATCTATTAACACAGCTTAGAATGAGTTATTATTATACTAAAAAAAATAATTCTCTTTGGATTTCAATTTAAAACCTTTCATGAGCGCTGAGTTTACTTAAAATACACGAAAATAAAAAGATATGATACAATAACTGTTGTAACCTCTTTGATACAGAAAAATCATTTGTATATTCAATAAACATGTAATTGTTCAAATTACTGCCATCCATATTCTCTCTCTTTCTGAAGTATTTCTATATATTGAGGACAAAACAGGACCTTCACATCCTGATCAGAAGACATTTGCTCATTACAATAAATTTGCTTAGTATAAGCCTGACTCTATATATTATGCTGACTCAGCAGAATGTGGAAACCTAGCTCTGGAGGACATATATCAAAATATACATTAAATCACAGGAGAGTTCCGTCTGACTTCTGACCATCTGAAACTTGTGAAATACACACCTACATTACTTGCCTGAGAAGAATGCTACAGTAAGAGTAACACAGGATATTTTTCAGGGATAATCTATATTCTAAACCCGACTGCTGCTGCCTCCCAGTCTTCACCCAAAAGAAATAAGCTATCAGGCAGTCAAAAACGTGAGTGTCAAGGATTGAAACCAGTAAACAGCAAAAGAAGTTTGTACTGGAGACTTTCTGAGTCTTAATTATTCAGACATCAAAAAACGGGAGGTTGTCCCCTTACAATCACAGCTGCAGGATCAGAACCTTCCTGCAGATCTCCCGCAGGGTGAACGCTACTGAATCCAAACTTGCATGCGAAATAAAAGGGACAGGGACTACTGTCCTTGAGCCAGTTTTCCTACACAAAAAGAGGTATATGCTAGCAAACTGAACAGTCTGGCAGACTTGAGGCAAGGCACACTCGAAATAAAGCAGCTCCTCCACCCATGAACCTTCTCAAAGCCAATAGATGTAATATTTTGAACGTTAACTGAAGAAATTTTCTCAGGATATCATGAAGGAAGTATAATGGAAGGTGGGGCATACAAACAGGAAGGTCACCAACACAAACGGAGCAATTTTGATCAGCAATGGTCTTGTACATTCAGGGGGATAGTTTGCCACACTTTGGCACAGACCCCATTCAGAGGTGCGTAGATGAACTCTGCCCAGCGCACCCGAATAAAATGGAAACGGCAATCATGCTTTGTACTGGTTATGGTTTGGATATGCCACAACAGACAAGATGCAATATGATCTTAGAAATAACTACCTTAGACTGCAAGAGCAATTTTGGGGGCCCAAATATAGCCTAACACCAATATGTGTATGTAGATACTTTCCTACCTATCCCATAGCAACAAAAAGAGATGTAAATTCAGTCATACCTTTAAGTACTGTAGAAAACTGGTATGAGAAAATGTAAAACAAAGGGATGAACAATGTTGTGACATACAACAGTCAAGAATCATATCACGAACACAGAATTTTCCAAGAAAGATGTTAAAAAATTAACAGTAACTTGTTTTCGCTTGGATATTTAAATATATTTAGTGGGATATTAATAATATAGTGATTTAGAAACAAAAGAAGTGAGAAATGAAGACTGAAGAACCGTAAAATAACTCATAGAAATCCTTTTTGTTTTGTGACTGAAAGCCTGGACAGTCTGGTCATCATCAAGATGTAGGCTATTTCATATATAACATATTACAAAGCATCTAACCATAATCTGTTACTTTCCCTTATGTAATGCGGCAATAAGTTATGTATCCTGAATGTCTGGAATGGCCTGGGGTCTTCCTATTATTGCCTGAACACCTCTAATTATTGTTCAAACAAGGCCATTGCTGAGGGCAAGCGTTACTGAAAACTTTCACAAATGCAGAAGCAAAATAAGAAAATGGTACTAATGCCTCAAAGAACATGGCATTTGCTCCCAAAAGCCAGCAGTAAGACCACTCCTGTAATCACACTGATCATGTGACTCAAGATGCCAGAAACACACCTTTCTGTTGAATTGGTAGGTCAAGAGATGGCACAGCCTTAAAGGCTGGACTGCAGAAATCACGTAAGAGGGTGAAATTGCACAGTGCAATTCCAACCTTGGAAGTCCTTGGAGAGCTCACACTGCACAGTAAGCGGTAAGACTTATTTCAGCAAGAGAGATAGGGGAAGCGTTAATTTGCAAGTCTCTCTTCTGATGTGAATCCTGCAGTGGTACCTATAAATCAATATTTCTTATGTGGAAGTTACTGAATGATGGAAAAGCCCTAGAATAATAATTTGTTTCTTATGCTTCCTTCACACTGAAAACAAATGAAAACCCTAGTAAGTACTGGTCAACTATATAGAAGGTTCACATTAAGCAGTTTTCTAGCTGTTCACCTCTGACTTTAATTTGCTGATTCTTTTAATCATGAATGTCAATTTAGCATCATTAGGCTAAACCCCTGGATGCACATAATCCTGCTCAGGCTCTGAAGATTCAGTGAAGTGTCAGAGTAGTTGGTGATCAACAGATCAAATCTGGACTTACAAGTAGTAGGCCACCAAAAAGATCTATGAGGTTTCTTTTGTGAGATGGCTGGAGACCAGAACTGGAGGTAATAACAGGCTCTCACATGCTCATTTAGAGGTACTATGTTTAGCGCAGTAAATATTGCTAACTGGCTGTTGAAAAGGACAGTAAAAAAGAGGTAGACTTTTGAAGTCTCTTTTCTCATCCTAGTAGCAGTGACAGCTCTAAATGGATCATGTCGGGATCCGAAGAGCAGATTCCAAAATAAACACCAGGAAGCAGCCTATGTTGGTAACATAACTAATTGCTCTATATACTAAGACCTAGGGTCAGCGATAATTGGTGATGATATTGGGAGACTGTCAGCAATCCTTTCAGGTTCAGCTGGGCTATAGAAGCTAAGATACCTGAACCTTTTTTTTCCCTTTAGGGAAAAGATACAGATAGCATCAAAACTGAAATGTGTATTGGAGCTGAGGAGCTGGAGAGAAGAAACTATCATGAAATTTACTTAATTCCAACTGACTGTGTGGATAAACCCCCTCAGCAGTGGACCAATTTCAGCCAGGCATTACAGTCCAAGCAACAGTTTTAGCTAACAGAACAAGCTACTTCGGCTCACTTATTAAACAGTGTGCTCTATTGGATGCTGGATTCGGCATCTCTGTCTTAACCACCAGATTAGGACATTCCAGATGTCTAT